GGGTGGGAGCTTCCGGGGAGAATCTCGTACTCGCTGCCATCAACGCCCTCACCGCTGTCGTCCAGCTGGTAAACGTTTTCCACGACCGAGCCTCGACTCTGCATCTCCGACGCCGCCGAGCCGAGGAACTGAAGCTCCGAGCTGCGAGAGAAAGAATATGTTATTTCAGAATCAGGATTTATTTACCCCGGGAGGAAATTGGGTTTCATCAGTTACTCCACTTTTTAGTTTAAAAATGAATACAAAGGCGCATTTTAAAATATGTAATAAAGATAAAAAAGTAAGTAATGTGCACATTATACCAGTGGCGTCTGGCCCATAGGGGCGATAGAGCGCCGCCCTCCCTAAACCACACACAAAAACATTATTATAATAATACTAATACTAATTCATTGTTTGTTTGTAGCCTTTATTTATCCAGGTAAAAATCCCATTGAGATCAACGATCTCTTTTACAAGGGAGACCTGCCGATATAAATTGTCAATATTTGTGTTTAAAATATGGAATGCACCCAGAAATGTGTGAAATATGATTTAAAAATAATTTTGAGTTGGCTTTGCGTAGGCATGACGAGACGTCAGTCAACCCTGGCATTTTCAGGGGATTGATATATATATATTTCCATACATATATATATTATATACATCATATATATATATACACGTATATGTATATATATATATATATATGTATATATATATATATGTACGAGAGAGAGAGAGAGAGAGAGACACGGACGCTCAAAGCATATATGCTCGAACGTGTGCTGCAATCATGTAGCGCGTACTATCCGTGCTGAGTGTGCTGACTTCTCGTACACTGTCTGGCTACCTGCATAAAGTCACGTGCTCGGCGCAGTTGTCGGCGAAATGTCATTGAAACAGCTCCTTATATCCGTTAGCGCAGCTAGCTAGCACCAGATGCTAACAACAACACGTAAGGTGTGCCTCGCTCGCGCGAGTCGCGCCACACATACACACTCCCTCCCGGTCCTCCCGATGGCCAGTCCGGGCCTGCCGGTGAGCGTGGAAGTGTGGTCTGCCACAAGCGGGCGGCAGGAGCTGGGCTGTCAGCATCATCATGTAGATGGTATTTTAAACTCGCTGCTCTCTGAAACTACGGGGCGGCCGAGGACAAAAAATACACGTTAATCGCGTTAAAATAATTAGTGGCGTTAATTTTTTTTGCGTTAACTTGACAGCCCTAGTATATATATATATATATATATATATATACGTATATACATATACATATATATGTATATACATATGCAAGTATTGCTACTACCATTGTCTTTAAGTTTTTGTACGTAGTCCTCAGTCTAAAATGCTTAAATTGTTAATGGAGGCATTAAAATGAAAGACTGGTAAATGAACACTGAAAACTCCTGTTTTTTGCATTAAGTCATACTGGGATGTTTGCTGAAATGGATTGCATGTGGCACAGCCCGACCTAGAAAACAATCCACCAGCCGCCTCTGCATTATACGACAATCATCACAACTTAAAGGTGGGGTAGGTAATTTTGAGAAACCGGCTCGAGATCGCTAGAATTTGAAAATACACAGCCGGAGAAAATCTGCCACTTCCTTACAGAGCCCCTCCTCCAACACACACCAACGCGCACATGACCAATGAGGGCACGAGATAAGTTTGTGTCCAGATGGAAGGCTGACAGGCAGGTAGGCCATCCAGTCATCGGGCCGGCTCAGATGATTGGTCGTGCTTTTTACAGTACTACGGCTTCCACAGATGATATTTATTATGGATTTTTTGTCAAAGCACTTCAGGTATTCATTGCTATCGGGATGTTAAGAGCATTCCATGGAATATAACAAAAAGTGTATCTCGAGCCGGTTTCTCAAACTTACCTACCCCACCTTTAAGTATGTAAAAATGAGAAAATGACCATGTAATAGTATAAGTATTAATAAAGATATCAACGATGAAACTCAGTTTATTGTTGGAAATCTTCAGTTAGCTTTGAATGAAACAGTATTTCCTGGAGCATATTTAAGCTTTATGCTATTTATATAGCATCAGGTAATAATAGGGATTTCTGTTGATCTGAAATTAAATATCTTTTTTATGTTTTTCTTCCTCATCAGAGTTCTGAGTCCTAAATATGATTAGTAGTGATTTCCTGCTGACGGTGGGTTTCTGTTCTGACAGATCGAGGTCTCTGAGTTTCACTCTGAGTCTCTGAGCTGGTAACGGTGCGTCGGGGGGGATCTGTGTCGGGGGGGAACTGTGCGTCGGGGGGGAACCAGTGACATCCCGAGGTCCCCGAGACGCTGGGAAACTGCTGACTCGTGACGTCTCTGCTGAGTCACCAACCACTGACTCTATGAGAGAAACTAAAGTGTGTGAAGAAGAAGAAGTTTCCTCTGAAGGCGTCGGCTGTGAAACTCACTTTTTGCTGAGTCGCCTCCGTCTGCTGGCTGCAGAAATAAGACAAGAGAAGAAGAAAGCACAGTTACTGAGGATCTGATGAACAAACGCCATCAGAGGAAATGTTGATCTGCAACAAAACAAACTGATAAAACTCACCGAGAACAACGACTGCAGCGACCAGCGTTAGCACAGCTAGCGCCCCGAACACAACACTCAGCAGAAACACACTGCTACCATCCTGACACACACACACACACACACACACACACAGTTTTAAAAGCAATACATTACGCATTGTATGTTTAATTAAGCTAACATCAGCTATTTACACAGCTAACAGCAGGCCCGGTCCAGGATGAAATGACTGAGGCTGTTAAAAAATCAGAGGGGGCGATTCTTTTTCACAACAACGAAAAAAACTGGCAAAGTAATGAATTGACACACCAAGCTTTTTTCCTTCTCACTGCTCTACAGTCTCTTTGCTTCTTTATTGTTATTCTGGATTGACCCCTCTCGTTCTGTTCTTTTCCTCTGATCTTTAATAACAGATAGAACATTATTAGATGGCTGCACTTTGGTTAACAGACTAACATTGATTTCCCCAATTTATAAATTGGCAGGCTCTGTAATCATCCCATAACCTTTTCTCCTCTATCCCTTAACTCGTCTTCCTATCAGATTGACTTACTTACTATCTACTCTATCTCAGGATTAAAGACACATTCATCTGGTTGATTTTTTATTTCCAGGATTGAATGTTCAAACCAAGGCCTAAAACCTGGCAAATCATAAGCAAGTGACTAATATATAAAACAAATGTAATATTGGATCAAACACTACACCAAATGGACCGACACAGATTAAACATTAAGTCCCCTGGTTTGTCTCTAGAGGCTAACTGCCAGGAGAAAAATCAGATCAATGTTCCACAATCCGCCACGAGATGTCGCTCATTGTACCAATACGGTTTATAAAATACAAAACATATTATTATTATTATTATTATTATTATAACAGTAAAAGGGCTTGCTTTGGCAACAACCTGATCCATACAGGCAGCCCTAAATAATAATAAGTAACCATGGTCATTCCAGAATTGGAGGACATTTCATGTCCCCCATATAAAAAATCTAATAATCCATGCCCAAAAAGCTAAGACATGCACTTGTTGTGTTAAATATACTTGTCTTGAGACAAGATGCATATAAAGTTGTAGAAAAAGTGGTTTCAAAATATTATTTAAAATATCAAATAGCTCTCGAACACCCCCTAAAATGGCCCTTTTCTCTTGTCCCAGCTTCTTGGTGACCAACTTGCATGTCAAATATAACATTTAAAATAGGGTTTTTATTTACTTTTTTGGTATTATTCTATTGATATATGTGTCTTGTAATGGTAAAATCAATTTGTTAAATCATAAACACATTTTAAATAACAGTAATTTTGCACAGAAGGTGTGTCCCTCAACATGCGCGCAACCCTGTTACCGAAACCTTTTTAGCTTGGCAGAGGAAGTGAAAAAACTGTTTGTCGCATGACACAGTGGAAAGGACATCAGCAAGCCATGTGCTACTACCATGGGTAGACCAAAACTAAGTCCTCTCTTTTATTTGTAATATATTTCCAATCTTGTCACTCTTGAAGGAGTGTGGCACTCATACAAACGCAACCCTGTTACTCAAATTATGAGACTAAAACAAATTAATTTCAAATGTATCTTTCTTTATTTAAATATCTAAGTGTGTCCATTCCTTGACAATAGCATTACATTGTGCAGCTAGCATTAATTCCTGAGGTAAAAGCTAAAATTAGCATTGATTTTCAACCCTGTTACTATAATTAGAGTAACAGGGTTAATTCTTCATTGGAAAATATACATTTGATGCCTTAGCTGGGCAAATCACTTTTTTTGATGGTTTATTATCTGTTTTTCCTAAATACATAACAAAAAATAATAAAATGAAAGGTTCATTTTTCAAAAATGTTGGTGTCTAAATTGTCCTCCAATTCTGGAATGACCATGCTATCTGTAGTTGTCTTATTTTTTGTTGATTTCATATTGTTTTCACAGAGCTGTGGAAATGAATTTCCCCCTGGGGACAATACATCTAATCTAAACTAATGTAATATTCAATCCCGTACTTGGCGATTGAGAACATACATTCGTAATTTACCTCGTTTAAAGCACTTTTGTTGTAATACTATGGATTTAGTTGACACTACTAGCCAAGTTTCTTTTGTCCAATATTTTGCGGGAAGGTACATTGAATTAGAAGTAGAGGTAGAAGAAGAAGAAGTAGAGGTACCTAACTAACAGTTAGTTAGTCTGTTAGTTAGTCTGTTAATTAGCCTGTTAATTAGCCTGTTAGTTAGTCACTAACAGGCTAATTAACAGACTAACCAACAGGCTAACTAACTAACTGGTTAACTAACTAACATGCAAACTAACAGGCTAACTATAAGACAAACTAACTGACTTTTTTAGCTAACGTTAGCTAGTAAACAACGCAACAGGTGTCCGTTTTACATGCAGAAATTAATCTGAAGATAATCTGAAGTTTATCATGAATCAAACCTCATTTCATAAAATAATCAGACGTTAACCCTCACCCTCAGGATGTCCCTCATCTTGGGGGAGAGGCTGCTGCTGGTCTGGAGGATCTGAGTGGAGTTCATCTGGTCTGCAGGACAAGGGAACAAGAGAGTATTTATATACTGTATATACATATATAAAATGTAGTTTATGTGTGTGTGTGTGTGTGTGTTACCTGCTGCTGTGTGTGTGTGTGTCTGCTCTGTAGTCGTGTTTAAAGGTGTGGATGTGGTCGTCTGTGGAGCTGAAACAGAAACACATTTTATTTGTAACATTTGTAAAAAACATAAAGATCGAATTTTAAGATTTTTTCCAGTTTTCTGCGTTTTTTTGGAAAACGTTTTGGTCGGATTTATTAAGTACCCAAATTAGATATTTTAGGATTTTCTAAAGCAGTTAAATATGTATTGCATTATTTCTGCAAAAACTTTTTTGCTCTCTGCGTTTCTACTCAAATTATTTACTTTATTATTTTATATTTCAATGTCCTCTGGAAGATATTTGCGATTGTTATTTTTTTCACTGTATTTTTCTTTTGCGATATTTTAAGACTTTCATGCATTTTCACTTTTTTAGTAGGTTTACACTTCTGCCGATTTCACCAAAACTTTATTTGAGATTTTCTTGAATTTTCTGCATCTCCATTTAAACTTTTTTGTTGTAATTTTTGCATTTTAGTGGGCAGTGAAGGTATCCTAAAGGGGAGACCCCATGATGCCCCTCACCAGATTTGACTGTTGTTTTCATCCAGAGTAACGACCCTCACCTCTCTCCACGCTCAGATCGATGTGATGTGCTTCGTCATTGAACCACCCGTAGATATCCACTCTGCATCCATATCGTCCTGCGTCTGTCTCTGAGACGTTGAGGACGGTCAGGGAAACGTCTCCGTCCTGCAGGCGACCCATAAACCGGTACCTGCTGGAAGCCCCGCCCCCAAACGTCACCTGACTTCCGTCTGAAGCGATTAACTGGTTGTTGCAGCCGGAGGACGGGATGTCCCCCCGACCCCAACACACCGGCCGGGCTTTGTTTGTCTTAATGTCATATTTACAGGTCAGATTCACGTCCTGACCTGAGACACTCGTCACTCTGAGGCCAGATCCTCCAGAGACTGAGGAGACAGACACAGAGACAACAAATCAACAAACATCAAATCAACACTCAAACAGTGATCGCTGTCTGAGGACTTCACGCTGGGTTATCTGATACCTGCTGATCAAACCTGTTTATATCCATCACTGTTACCAACCTCCACGTTTCTGTATTACAGGTCTTAGCACTCAAGTCCATCAAGTCAATGAAGTCTCAAGTCCCAAGTTGAGTCCATAATTCAAGTCCAAAATTAAGACTGACAAGATTCAAATCAAGTCTCAAGTCAACTCTTAGGACTCAAGTCCTAAACGAAATTGACAAGACTCAAACAACCCCCAAATCTAGTCCCAAACTAAGACTGCAAAGTCAAGCCTTAGGATTCAAGTCCCAAATCCACAATGACAAGTCCTAAACCCAGTCCTAATTAAAAACTGATGAGTCCAAAATCAAGACCAACAAGTCCCAAAACTAGTCTTAGATCCAGTCCAGTCTCAAGAGGTGACGTGTTTAATGTCCACAGAAATGCACTTTAGTATGAAATAGAGAGCAGCAGCTCTCCAGATACACAGACACTGAAGAGACATGCGTTTAAATAACTATTAATAACAGCTTTAACATTAAGTTCAGCAAGTTGTTCAAAATATAATAAAATACTAAAGAAATATGTATTTATTTCAACAACAGTTTACATGTTGCTCTTAAAGCTTCACTGTTTTAAATAATTTTAAATATTAAAAACATGACCTTCTGCTGGATCCCATGTAAACAAAGTCAGTGTTAATATAAAATAAAACTATTATAAGTTACCTGAGAGCAGAGCGAGGATCAGAGAGAGCTTCATCATGAACACACTCTCACACACTGACACTCACACGTAATAAAACACTGACATCACACACACACACTGCGAGTCACACAGCTGCACATCGCCCACCGCGTCTTTAAACAGAAGTACAGAAACTGAAGAAACCTCAAAAAGCCTGAGTTTGACTTTATTAAAATGTAAACATGAGAGAAGCATTGAGCCTTTAATGAGAGAACGTGAGACCTCATTCTGATGGAATCACTCATCAGGGAGCCAGTCATCAATTAAAATCCATCAATTAAGACCTACAAGTTGAAAGTTAGTTTGGTCATAAAATGTGATGTTTTAATGTTGTATTTATTAACACTGAGCTCACAGGAAGTCGTTCTGAGCGATGATCATGTGGTCAGCGTCTGACTTCCTGTCAGCAGCAGATGGAGGAGTCGGCTACTTCCTGTCTGAGCCTCGGACGCAGTTTCACTTCTTCAGAAACACAGAGATCACACTGAGAGAAATATCTGAAACACACTGAGAGAAATATCTGAAACTGAAACACAGAGAAATATCTGAGACTGAAACACACTGAGAGAAATATCTGAGACTGAAACACAGAGAGAAATATCTGAGACTGAAACACAGAGAAATATCTGAGACTGAAACACAGAGAGAAATATCTGAGACTGAAACACACTGAGAGAAATATCTGAGACTGAAACACAGAGAGAAATATCTGAGACTGAAACACAGAGAGAAATATCTGAGACTGAAACACACTGAGAGAAATATCTGAGACTGAAACACAGAGAGAAATATCTGAGACTGAAACACAGAGAAATATCTGAGACTGAAACACAGAGAGAAATATCTGAGACTGAAACACAGAGAAATATCTGAGACTGAAACACAGAGAGAAATATCTGAGACTGAAACACACTGAGAGAAATATCTGAGACTGACACACTGAGAGAAATATCTGAGACTGAAACACAGAGAGAAATATCTGAGACTGAAACACTGAGAGAAATATCTGAAACACACTGAGAGAAATATCTGAGACTGAAACACTGAGAGAAATATCTGAGACTGAAACACTGAGAAATATCCGAGACTGAAACACTGAGAGAAATATCTGAGACTGAAACACAGAGAGAAATATCTGAGACTGAAACACAGAGAGAAATATCTGAGTCACGACAAACTTGAGTCACAGGTTCTTCAAACAATGCAATAAAAGAATCTCAGGGGTTCAGCTCATGGCCCTGATAGGAACACACAATATAAGATACATGCATAATACACAAATACAATTATCAATGCTTCTTGGCGATACATCTTACACCGTTGGAAAGCCTGTTTTCTTACCTTTGCAATAGAACCACATTAGTGAGGAACATGCATTTGTGGGATGAGCAGATGAGTTTATGTAACCTTTGTTAGCTAGTTTGTTAGATGGGTAATGTTGTGTTCAAAATTCCGGGAAAGACAGACAACTTCTAAGTTTAACTATTTATTATAAGAGAGCAAAATACATATATTCACTTGGCCAAGGACTCCGTCACGTCATATAATTCACAGACAGCAAAGCTGTAATCTGTCAGTCTATTTCCGGACAAGAGCCTCGAACCTTGTGCGTGCATACATTTTATTACACAGGGCGTTGCCCGTACATTTATGATTGGTCAAGACTAGCTGAAGAGATACCATGGTTTAGACTTGGTTCTCTTAGGTAGGTGAGCAGACTTAGAAAAAAGTCTCTTGGCAACACGATCCTCCAATCAGCATTCGGCCGGCCGGCGAAGTCCCTCCCTACTCTGTCTCTATCCTAGTAATTTGTTTTCGCTAAAGCTGCTTTGCAGACAGATAGTGGAATCCTCCATTTACACTGATTCCCAGTTATGCGGGGGCGTTGAGCACACACACACGGCCAAGGCCAGAGCCTCAATAACTCATTGTCTCTGCAGTGTGCACCTGGCTTTGCTACATTTCTAATGCAGGCTAAAAAAGTTTCTTGCTGTGAATTTTCCCTTCGTTTCCTTTCCAACCCATCAAACCTTGGGATTGGTGAGTGTGTAGTCACAGCCACATAAAATGAGCACAATAAGCTTATAATGTAATAATAAGAATCAGTCTTTCTAATGTTATATCAAAATAGACTCAACAGTAGCTAATGGAAGATAGCTAATGGTACTTTGGAACGCACCAAATTTTATTTTTTTCTCAGGATTTTGACTTTCTCTCAAAATGTACTTTTCTTTTTCTTAGAATTTAAATTTTTTTCTCAAAATGTACTTTATTTCTCTAAGTTGAAATTGGCTGTTGAGCTTTACCAGAGCACCAGTGTCTCTCTGTGGGGACGTGAGGCTGGTTCTGTGATGGTGTGATGGTTCAGGAAGGTGTGACGGTTCAGGAGGTGTGATGGTTCTGGAGGGTGTGATGGTTCAGGAGGGTGTGATGGTTCAGGAGGTGTGATGATGGTTCAGGAGGGTGTGATGGTTCAGGAGGTGTGATGGTTCAGGAGGGTGTGATGGTTCAGGAGGGTGTGATGGTTCTGTGATGTTGTGATGGTGTGATCAGGGCCGTCCCTGGCCAACTTGAGGCCCGCAAAGTTAGATGATGAGGCCCTCTGTTTCGCAAGAGTGATGGTTCAGGAAGGTGTGATGGTTCTGGAGGGTGTGATGGTTCAGGAGGGTGTGATGGTTCTGGAGAGTGTGATGGTTCTGGAGGGTGTGATGGTTCAGGAGGTGTGATGGTTCAGGAGGGTGTGATGGTTCAGTGATGGTTCTGTGAAGGTGTGATGGTTCTGGAGGGTGTGATGGTTCTGGAGGGTGTGATGGTTCTGTGATGGTTCTGGAGGGTGTGATGGTTCTGTCATGGTTCTGGAGGTGTGATGGTTCTGGAGGGTGTGATGGTTCTGTGATGGTTCTGGAGGGTGTGATGGTTCTGTGATGGTTCTGGAGGGTGTGATGGTTCTGTGATGTTCTGGAGGGTGTGATGGTTCTGTGATGGTTCTGGAGGGTGTGATGGTTCTGTGAGGGGTGTGATGGTTTCTGTGATGGTTCTGGAGGGTGTGATGGTTATGTGATGGTTCTGGAGGGTGTGATGGTTCTGGAGGGTGTGATGGTTCTGTGATGGTTCTGTGATGGTTCTGGAGGGTGTGATGGTTCTGTGAGGGTGTGATGGTTCTGTGATGGTTCTGGAGGGTGTGATGGTTCTGTGATGGTTCTGTGATGGTTCTGGAGGGTGTGATGGTTCTGTGATGGTTCTGGAGGATGTGATGGTTCTGTGATGGTTCTGGATGGTGTGATGGTTCTGGAGGGTGTGATGGCTTTGTGATAGTTCTGGAGGGTGTGATGGTTCTGGAGGGTGTGATGGTTCTGTGAGGGTGTGATGGTTCTGTGATGGTTCTGGAGGGTGTGATGGTTCTGTGATGGTTCAGGAGGGTGTGATGGTTCTGTGATGGTTCAGGAGGGTGTGATGGTTCTGTGATGGTTCTGGAGGGTGTGATGGTTCTGTGATGGTTCTGGAGGATGTGGAACAGCTGACAGGGAACAGGAACAGGAACTCCAGAGGCAGTTCTTTATTTAGTCTCTCCTTGTTCTCTCTGATGATCTCAAGCTGAGGGTTTTCATCAGACTTTGTAACTATACATGACTGTAGACCTGAACTTGCCCCCCCCGTCTCTCAGGTGTGATTCCTCCCCAGGTGAGCCTCCTCTGAACCACACCTGGCTGTAGACCTGAGGATCTGAGCTGCAAGACACAACCAACAACAGTTTTTTAAAACCTGTAACCATCCTGTCGTGTTAGTTTCAGTGTTGTGTTATAACTGCTCTACATTAACCCAAACCATGACTCCTCTCCAGCATTTAAAGCTGTCCCCCTGTCTCAGATGCTGCTTCGATGGCTAACTGAGGTGAACAGAGAACACACACTGAGTTGTGTTTTCTTTCTCAACATTTTATTTTTTCCCTCAAACTTGAATTTGTTCTCAAAATTAAAATTGTATTTTCTCAAACATATATTTTTTTATCTCAAAATGTACTCTTAAAAACTCACTCTTTGCTGAGTCGCCTCGGCCTGCTGGCTGCAGAGATAAGGAGGAAAAGACACAGTTACTCTCCTCTGGTTCAGTTTCTGATGATCTACTTCTTCCCGTTGAACTCACCAACTATAATGAAGGCCGTTAGCACAGCTAGCACCTCGAACCCAACACACAGCAGGACAAACCAGTCCTGCCCACCAGCAATCCTGGACACAACACACCACACATCACACACACATACACATATCACACACACACACAATACGACAAAGCACACCACACACACACACACACACACACATTCACACACACACACACATCACACACACACACTCTACACTCGTTGGGTTGTACCAAATGGGGACGTTCTCTGAAACACAATATGACTACACAACCTAAAGACGATATCTACTACCCCACAATATGAGGACGATGTAACACACACACTCTACACTCGTTGGGTTGTACCAAATGGGGACGTTCTCTGAAACACAATATGACTACACAACCTAAAGACGATATCTACTACCCCACAATATGAGGACGATGTAACACACACACTCTACACTCGTTGGGTTGTACCAAATGGGGACGTTCTCTGAAACACAATATGACTACACAACCTAAAGACGATATCTACTACCCAACAATATGAGGACGTTGTAACACACACACTCTACACTCGTTGGGTTGTACCATATGGGGACGTCCACCAAAACACATCATGACTACACAACCTAAAGACGATATCTACTACCCAACAATATGAGGATGATGTAACACACAAACTCTACACTCGTTGGGTTGTACCAAATGGGGACGTTCTCTGAAACACATCATGACTATTCAACCTAAAGACGATATCTACTACCCAACAATATGAGGACGATGTAACACACAAACTCTACACTCGTTGGGTTGTACCATATGGGGACATTCTCTGAAACACAATATGACTACACAACCTAAAGACGATATCTACTACCCAACAATATGAGGACGATGTAACACACACACTCTACACTCGTTGGGTTGTACCATATGGGGACGTTCTCTGAAA